TGAACACCTGGCCGGGGTCATTTGACCCCAGTACTCTTTCCTACCACGTCAGGGGGTTGGACTTGATGATCTGCTCAGGTGCCTTTGACCCTACCATCTATAAAACTATGAACCCTTTCAAATATTCTTGTGACCCACTTTTTGGTCATGACCCACATGTTGAGAAACAGTGGCCTATACTATATTTGTGGCTCCCAATCTAATTTCTGACTATATTGTACTTCTTTGGTTCTCTAAAAATTGTGTATATGTGGTGAAGATAATATATTTCTGTGAACAGTATAGGCATACATTTAAATGCTATCAGAAAACACTGTAGTATCAACCTGAGCTATCAGATTGTGCTCTTAATTTTTAGTTATGTCATTTATGAATTCATCATACCACAAAAGTGGCACAGAGTTTTATCTTGTCAGGCTCGTCCAAGGTTATTAAAAGTTTTATTTTCTGCTCATAGTGGGTTGCAACTAATCATGCTGCACTCCCTTCTGGGAGTAGACTATACTCTGAGAAATGCTGATATAAAACATTGGTTCAGAAACACACAGGCACAATGCTGATGCTTAGCATAATTAAAGTGCATGCTTCTGTTTTTGGATAATGATCTACAACTTGGTTAGTGGGCACAATATTAAGTTATTAGATCGGGAGTACCTCTTGTGGCTTTTTGAGGCCCTGGGTTCAGAATTAATTAGCTAAATATCTGATGTAGCAACCCTTACTCATGAGTAAGCTTTACTTATACAATGCAGCCAAATAAAATCACAGAGATGACTCATGTGAGAGGATTGTTTATGCAGTATCAGGCACTAGATGGGGTCCACTGCAAATTCAGGGCCTGATTCTAATTTTCATTATATTGATTTAACACCAGTGTAATCCTTCTCAGATAAATGGATGCATATCTAAACAAATGCAATTGAGAGAGGAAAACAGGCTGTCAACTGTACGATTTCCAAACACAAACTTTTAAAATCCCATAACACCTGCATTGTCGTGAACCATATCCCATGTATCATGAATAGAAATAATTAACTGAGGGAATATGCAGTTCAGTAGCAAATACCAATCATTACAAGAAACTTTAGTCATAAGGTTATGCTATAGGGTTTCCTTGGAGGGCTGAGCATTGAACTCCAGATCCCAGATGGTGCATGGGGATAGAAATACTCAGCAAAGCACCCCTCATCTTCTCTCTATAACAAGACTGTATTGGTGTCTCTCCTTTCAAAACCCTCTCTGACTGTGGTGTGGTGGAGACGGAAGTTTCTCCACCTGTTTGCATGTTTCCAGCTTTAATACCAAAAAAAATATTAGTAACAACTTATTGTATTAATTTAATAACACCTGCTATGAGCCTAAGCCTTGCCTGCTCATGGTGAGAAGAACCTCACTCTGCAAGTGGTCTCAAATGTTATCAGGCTCTAAATGTGAAAACTATAATGAAAATATATGTACTGTTTTGAAAGTAACATCTTTGCAGTCAGTGTGTACTTCCATGGGAAGAAATCAAATAAAAATGTAATATGAAATAAAAAGAAAAATGAACCGTGATGGTCAGCCCCTTGCACTAAAATACTACCACAATTGATACCTGTGAAGTAGACCATGAAATAAGATTCTTCATGATATGCCACTCAGTTGCATAAATTTGTAAAATACAGGAGAAAATTTGCTTTCTTTAGCAGTCTTATGTGAAATATTCTGCACAGCACAAAAAAGATGCATCATAGCTAGGGACACGAGTGTCATATAAACCAGTATACTTGATTGGAAAATGGTTCAAATCTGTAACACAGCAGGGCTAAGTACAGACAATCAAAAAGCCCAAGGCTGAATTGATTCAGTCTTTGCAGGTTAGTTTAAGTGGCAAAGATTGAACCAATAAGCAAATGAACAGACATTAACTTGTGATTCAGGAAATGAAGACACATGCCTGTGGTAGCTCAAGCCAGAAGCCAGCATGGCTGTCTGGCACATAACCAGGATGGGCTGTGTGTTTGCTTCCTCTTCCTGCTTTCGAGATCTCTGGGATTTGCAGCCCACAGTCACAGAAGCAGGAGGTTGTAGGGTTGCTCATCACTTCCTCATCCTGCTTCTAGGTGCCTCTGGGATTTGTAGTCCACAGTCATAGCAGTAGTAAGCCAGCAGGGCAGGGCAGCTCTGTATTTGGGGAAAGGTGAATTTAACCCTCCCCTCCCTTGCCCCAGCACCCAGCTGGGGTTTGCCTAGAGGGGCCATCGAGCCAGCCAGGGAGGTCAGTGAGCTAGCGAGCCAGCTCCCTCTACTCCATCTAGGAAGCAGAGGGGTGGGGCCAGCCTCGCTCTCTGGAGCAGACAGCCCAGCCCAGCCCAGCCCAGGGCTGAAAAGCATGCTGAGAAGCTGGGGGGGACTCTGATTTAACTTGAAAAAGGAAGGGGTCTGGGACAGAAGTTTCATAAACTGGTTTGACCTAAATCAGCTAAGTCTGATACTACATTCAACCAGGTTTATCATAAACCAGTTTCAGCCATTTTGAAACTGATCTGTGTGCACTGAACTTCTGTTACAGGTTTAAACCAGTTTCTGATCACTTAAACCAGTTGGTGTAACTTCTTTCCCTAGCCTAGAAGTTCAGTGCACATAAACTGCTTGCAAAATGGCCAAAACCAGTTTAAGATAAACCTGGATAGATGTAGTATCAGATTGAACTGGTTTAGGTTAAATTGTGTTATTGAACTTCTGTCCCAGATCCCTCCAGATTCAAATTAATTCACAGTTCCATAGCATCCCAGGATGCTTTGCATCTCCCCCACAAACTCCCTCTCACAGGGTGGGCAAGCTATCCTTGGCCCAAGCTGTCTGCTTCAGTGAACAGGGAAGTGTTCTCTAGCACCTTCTGGCTTCTAGCCTGGGCCACTGCAGGCATGTGGCTACATTTCCAGAATCAAAACTGGATGTCTGTTCACTTGATTGTTGGTTCCAGATACAGAGCTTAGATTAACCTGTGAAGATTGAATTGATTTAGCTTTGGGCTTTTTGACTGTCTGTACTTAATCCATATGTTGCTATATATAATGTGTATATAAGATTAGTTGTTATTAGGGGTACAGGTTATATTGTGTCATTAAGGAATGCTATCAATTACAGAAAACAAAATTCAGTATACCTTTCATATAACTTACTGGCTTCTTTGTTTGTTTTTTGTAATGGATTAACAAATATTTTCCAATTAAAAGTGCTTAAAGGACTGTAAAAAGTCCTTCAAACTCTTTTTCTTTAAGCTGTTGATCAAGTAGAAATTTTCTGTTCTAATATACTGGAAAATACTATTAATAGGAGAATGTCATTTACTAGCATAACTACTGAACCACGTATGTTCAGTATTATTTCTATTGACTAAATGCTAGATAGGAATTAATGGAGAGGATATTTGAGATTTAAATCATTGTATAATTGCTCAACACAGAGGCCCATATTTTAATTTCACTTACAGTTATCTTCCAATGTTATTGGAAGACGATTCTTACACTGAGAGGTTTTTTGAACATTGCGCTCTAAGATGGCTAGTATTTTTCAGGGATGTTTTACTTTAATTGTATTCTAATGGGAGCCTAAATTGATTCAATTAAGTTAAAGCTGCTAAGTTGTGCTACTGTGAAACCTAAAAGACAAACGGTATTTTGTTTTAGTAGTGAAAAAATAATCTACAGACATCTTGGCAGCTGTACTTAGTTCTTTGTTGTCACACTACTCAAGTTAGAAATACTGTTCCACATTTTATAAAGTCATCCTTCATTTATAGTAAGAGGGCTGGCAAATGTTAACTTAATGGAATGTTGAAATCTAATCTCTGATCCCGACAATTGCACCACACATGCATGGTAGATGGTTCAGTTGCTGGGATCTGGGACCATATCCGAATTGAACCACTGCCAGCAGAGAGCCAGGGGCATGAATTTTCAAGTGCTGGCTGGAGATTGACTCATCCTGCCTGCCATCTGCAAGCCCATTGGCTCCACTCCAGGGCCTCAGGATTGGAAAGCCTCTCCCCATTCCTGGGTTCCTGGTGCACTGGAACTTTTAAAAACTGCAGGTTACAGCCCAGCCAGTTTTTTGACATTCTGGCACAAGGTAACCCTGGGATCAGAGATTGACTCCCAGATCCCAAGGTCCTGGCACAAGGGGACCCCCAGCTCAGGGAGCCTTTCCCCAATACTGATGTCCCTGTGTTCAGGATGTCTAAAGTGCCTTGTCTGTAAAGTAGGCCTGTGCGAGTCGGCAGCGATCCAATCCATCTTTGGATCCAGCCACTTCAGATGGCCGTGATCCAATCCGGAGCTCCAGACCGGGTTTCTGCCTTGATCCAGCCAAAGCAGCTCTGAAGCTTCGGAGCCACCTCGGAGATCTGGCCATAGGGTATAATGGGGAATCAATTAAATATCTATAACTTTGTTGTTTCTTGTCCAATTTGGATGAAACTTGCAGGGATGGTAGCCTATGCTGAGGGCATGAAGCCTGCCAAGCTTCAAGAAGATCAGTGCAGAGGTCTGGGGGGAACTGTACCCCAAATTCTTGAAAGCCAAACTCATGTCACAGCTGTGTGTTACAACACAGGGGGGTCAAAACTGCAGGAGTGGCTTCTCTGGATCCAAAGCTCTGTCCGAAGCCTTACACAGCCTTACTGTAAAGGGCACATCATTTTAAAGTGCTTTGCTCCCCAGCTGCCTCAGACCTATAGAACAAGGCAGTCAGCCTGCTGGCTAGAGCTTCCTGTGATCCAGCGTTTCAAAGTTTCTTTTTCCACGACCCCCGCAGGGGGTTGCCAGGCATAGGGGTTACCAAGTTCCCAGCACAGGGAGCTCCTCACCTTTCCTCCCACCAAGAAAACTTGCAACCCACTCTCTAGGTAGTCCACTTCTGGCATTGGGACTCAGGCTTTCCCAGTCCCAATGCCAAACCCCATCCCAATGCTGATGCTGCTAATCCACTGATTGCAAGCATCAGCATAGGCATGACACACATTCCATATATGATACCATACAAATGATCCACAAAAATATTCTACATTTTTTTGCAGAATGCCTTTGTAGCTGATTTACCTCAACAAATTAATTGCACTTTAAATGTAACTTGTGCCAGGGGCCTGAGCCCACACACAATTAAAATCTGTATGAAGTAATTTAAAACCAGCTCTTTACTGGATGCCAGCAGTTAATTTACAAGGTATACATTTTCTAGGAGATTAACGATGGTTACTTAATAAGATGAATGTGACTTTCTTCTACCTCTTTTGAACAGCTTCAGTGCCTGGAGTGGAAACACAGATGGAAGATACTAATGACTTTGAAAGTGCATCTCAAGTGATGGGACCTGTAAGTATCCTTGCTTTATGGATGACCTTTCAAAACAGCCCAGTGGATTAAGAGAGTTTGCATTTAGTAGAGATGTGTATTTGACAAATAATACCTGGAAAACTAATTCAATGCTAGTGTTGTTTCCTTCAGCTCTGCAAGAGTCACCCTCTTGAAATCAACTTTTATGTACACTTTTATGTACCGCTGATCTGCTTGCAAAACTTCCATTGAGAGCAGCCAAATCTCAAAACCAGGACTCAAAGCATTCTAAGCAGCTCACTAATGTTTATATTAAAGAATATCAAATAACTATTCCCCCATCTTAATAGCTTTGCTTTTGCAGAAACTGATTGCAACAAAATAATCTAAATTCTAACGTTAGTTATGAAACTTGCGGTTAAAATCTCTACTGCAGCTCTACAAATTAAACAGATACCTTGAAACTGATAGAAAAGTGAAAGATGTACCTATTTAAGTGATCTGATTAAAGGGGATCTGATTAAAAAAATGTATTAGATATGATAGTACTTTCAACAGAGTTTCTTCCTTTGAAGTATAGAGCAGTCATATAAAGTTTGTAGAAAATATAGCCATGATTAAAATTATTTGTTAAGGGTCAATATTACTAAAAATCTGGCACCAGTGCTGTGTGTAAAGACTGAGATTTTTTTCTCAAACAAAATAAAAAATGTTAAAACCCAAAGATCTCTGTGCTATTGCTTATGTTTAGGAAGTGTCATACAATTAAATTCAGAAGTAGTAACTTTTGCTGAATTTAGTTGGCTGAGAAACTTAGTTTCCATATATACTCTCCTTAATTCAGATGATAAAAGGAAATTATTATCTATTTATGTAAGTGGAAAGCAAGTACGCCAGCTGCTCTTTCAACTAAGGAAAAAAAGAACCATATTATGAACAAGCATTAACATATTTCTAGGCAATCAGGCAACCACTTAATAAATGCTAATAATATTTAATAACACTTATACTACCTTCCAACCGATGACATCAAAGCAATTCACAAACAAGAAGCTCAGATCCATGCCTAAGTATCTTAGAAGATCTAGGCTGATATGATTAAGCTTCTGTGTACAGTTGTTAGGAATGTGAGTCAGAAGAAGAGCAGTGCTGTTGTGGATTGGCTGGAGACTCTTGATATTTTTCCCAGTCATGTTCTGCTTCACAATGAACAAATGGCAAAAGTTGTAATAAATTGACTTTCAGCTTCTGAATACAGGATTTTTTTTCTTATTGAATTGAACCCATTACTATCATTTTTAATTTGTCCAACTCAACAAAAAAATTAGCATGGGAAAAGAGCAAAGATTTCTGTGTCTTGCTGTTTTAAATTGAATTAAATGGAGGAGGAAGGAGATGGAAGGAAATCTAGATATCAAGATCAATCTGAATATCAAGCAAAGATTGCTGCAGCATTTTTATAACCTTATGTATTGCACATTTTAGCTAGATAAGTACTGTGTATACATATATATACCCATGTATGAATATTATTTAGTGTTCTGCTGTCAGCCACTTTGTATCTTTGTTTAATGGCCGAATCTATTGTAAGATGTTGTGCAGCAGCATCTAGGAATTCAGAAATTTCTTTTCTTTCTGTTATTTTTCCAAATCTGATTCAAATGTTAATAGTTATATACTAAAATGTAGCACACTCAAAAGAAGGCAGCCAAGGACTCTGGTGAGTGAGGTTCAATTGTTGGCTCCATTGTGTGTCCTCAGGTAAGTTTCTGTGCTTCAGTTCCCCACCTGTAAAATATAGCAACAACATTCCTGTACCTCATAAAGATGTTTGGGGCATAAATAGTGTTGCATAAATTGCTGATTTTATCCCCTGAAGGCTAGTCCAATTCACCTCTAGAAGAGAGTCACACTTTCAGGCTGGATCCAACTCTATTTTATTGCTTGCAAGCAGGCCGACAGAGGAGCTTGTTGCTCAGATCAGTGTCGACCCTAAACAAAGAGCGCACGTGGCTTTTATTGAGCTAGCATTTTTTTCAGTTGACGTGTTACATTTTGATTGGTCATTTCAAACCAAAACCTGAGCAACCTATAAGGCATACGTAGTGGGCCATCCTGTACCATGTGGGTGGAAAGTTACAGAATGCAGGGGTTAATACTAAAACAAGGAACAAAGAAACATAGAGAAAAGTATCTATTTTTGCTACAATTGGAAGGTAGCAAGGTGCTCAAGTACTACATTAATGAGGCCACATGCTTATGTAGACAAGGGGGAAAATCTGTACAATTACTTCAGTTTTGGAAAGTACATTTATATTTCCATGTAGACTAGGAAATATGGGACCAGTTTTCTGATGGTGATTTAAGAGCTTTGTTTTCCCTATGATGAGTGGAGGAAAAAAAGTCATCTTGGAATTGAGTAAATATGGTATATCTTAAAAATACTGAAGATACATACAACAAACACCTTTTAAAAGTGGTTCTTCCCTACTGAAAAAGTTGTAAAGCTCAAAGTAATAGAAGGAAAAAATATTTAAAGAAACAAACCTCTATAAATCAATATTGGGGTACTGATTTGACAGTAAAAATGGACAAAAAATGAAGGCCATATTTATGCAAAAAAAAGGCCCCCTGAAGTTTGGATACTTTCTCCCAAATGTGTTAAGCAGTTCTCTCCATTGGTCTACGTCAAGAGCCACAATGAGTTTAGATGCTCCACAAGGTGAAGATATCCCCTTATTGAATGTGCCATTGTAAATTAAAAGTTCTTTCTCTTCCAAATTCCATGCACAGCTCAAGAACTCTGGAGGTTACTGGTACTTCAGCTAATAGTACATTTGAGAAGCATAGGAGTTCTGTATTATTTGTCTTCTGGCTCCCCACCATTACCTGGCCTATGGTCTGTGGGCTTGGGAGTCCGTGTCTCTTGGGCTAGTGACACACATTCAAAAAACCTGAGCATGAATTTATTCAATCTTTGCAGACTAGTCTAACCTGGGCAGGCTGAACCAATGAACAGACATCCTCTCTGGACTGAAGAAATGCAGGCATGTGCCTGCAGTGGCTCAGGCTAGAAGCTGGGGTGGGGGTGGGGTGCTAGAGCAGCCCTCCCTTCCCTTCTACAATGCTGAGCTGAGGGGGGCATGGCCAGACCCTGGCAGGATGCTTTAATTAGGGAGGAGTCCCCTGTCCTGGCATTGTTGATAACAGAGCATTGAGTTATGCAGCAGGGAGTTACACAGGGTGTTGTTAGCATTTGTCAGCCCATCAAACAAAACAAAACAGCCTCTCTCATTAGTTCAAGCTCTTCTTAAACAACTTTTTTCCAAGGAAGAAACAGAGGGACATTACCAGCTACCTACTGATTAGCTCCCAAAAGCCCTAAGCTGACACTATCCTGTCTGCCTTTGTCTTGTTTCCCACGGCATGGACCATAGTTAGTCGGCCTGTGTAAGTTGGCAGTGATCCAATCCAGCTACGGATCCAGCCGCTTCAGATGGCTGTGATCCAATCTGGAGCTCCTGACCAGGTTTCTGCCTTGATCCAGCCAAAGTGGCTCCAAAGCTTTGGAGTTTCCTCAGAGATCTGGCCATATGGTATAATGGGGAATCAATTAAATATCTATAACTTTG